GCGTCACACCCACTTCATGTACACGCATCACTGATTAAAGGTCACAGTCTTCCTCGATCTAAATGAAGGATTTCATTTAATTGATTGTGAGGCCCTGTTTCATACTTTTCTTAGGACTGCCTAATTATGGGAGGCCTAATGACCTCATTGGGTTGATTATGACGGATGTTCACCATTACCGTTCGGCTCGGTCGGAGAAAGCAAATTTAGTGGATATTGCTAGTTATGAGCGTGCATACACCACCTGATTTTTCGTTGATATTCCATTTAGATTGTCTGGACGATATCTCCTTTTCATTGTATCCTTATACTAAGCACTCATAGTTACCTAATGGGATCTTTCTATTACTTTTTACCTACCGTGGTGGTGGCGCAGTGTTTAGTCGCCGTCACCGGCGTGCTTTGGGTCTTATGGTCCCAGGTTCAAGCCCCACCACCGACATCCCACTTTGGTGGTAAGCAGCTTTGCTGTCGTCAGGCTCAGTGCTGCGCTTAAACTATCAGTATCCTATGTTGTTCGCCACTCCAACTCCCGGGGCCTACCCATAACCGGTTTTCATCAATGAACAGCAGGTCCTCGTGACTATGGAATTCAGCCCGTCTGCCGCTCATTACACACTGGTGTGTGATAAAAAGATGTTAAATGCTAGCAAGTGAAGGAATGATTTCCCTTCCGATGCTCACTGGATTCATGCGAGATCTTATTGTGCACGCTTTTTTGCGAAGATCTGGCAAATAAATAGATCGGTATTATTTTGTTATCGCGGTCAATTTTGCTTCTCTTTCCAGTCTCCCTCCCCATCTGTGTGTCATACCGATTCGAACTTACTTATTCACCGGTTATTCGAAGCCCGTTGTAGAGTTTTCCCTATTTGAGTACTGCTTCACTAGTTTCAGTTTCATGCATGAGTTTTCTTCACACTGGTATATTTCTTTGTTGCTCTACTGACAAAATATTTGACCTGTTTGTTGGTTCATCACGTTTGCTCTGTTCCAGGTCAGTCGTCCACACGTGAGCAATCCAGTTGCAACGCTAATGCTTCTTCACGCCTACCTGATTATTGGGCACCCGGATTTGATACGTATTCTAACTGAAGCGATCTTTCTAGGAGATCCCAGTCTGACAGATTTGGTATCACGTTGGAATCAACGATCTCCTACACGCCTGACCTCGACTTGCCGCGACAGTCAAGATCTTACATCAGAGCGATCGGAAGATGAGGGTACTCATTCTGATTGCGACGCATTATCAGATGATGCAAACCCGGCAATCCACATTGCTGAATCATTAGTAGCTGCTACACTGGCCCTACGCAGTGCCAGATCGGCTGCCGCCGGCAAACGATTGACAGCCTATATGGAATCGGGTCGGTCGTTAAATAGGCACCCAGCTTTCCTGCAACCGAGTGAGTCACTTGAAGCCTGTCTCCGGCATGCCAGAGGAGTGACTCCGGCCCTACTTGCTAGTCTGTGGCCATCTTCATTAGAACCACTGGCGTTGACCGATCGATTTAAATGCGAATCAGTGAGTTTTTATTCGAGAGATTTCACTGTTGGATTACCGATGTATCTTAATCATGCCATT